GGTCCCGGCTCATCCGCAGCCGCGCCTGAGTACAAGACGCTGCTCATCAGCAGCCTGAGCCCCGCGCTGCCTGCCGAGCACCTCGAAGACCGGCTCTTCCACCAGTTCAAGCGCTTCGGCGAGATCAGCCTCCGCCTGTCGCACACGCCTGAGCTGGGCCGTGTGGCCTACGTGAACTTCCGGCACCCACAAGACGCGCGCGAGGCCCGCCAGCACGCCCTGGCCCGCCAGCTGCTGCTCTACGACCGCCCGCTCAAGGTAGAGCCCGTGTACCTGCGCGGCGGCGGCGGGAGCAGTCGGCGAAGTAGCAGCAGCAGCGCCGCCGCTTCCACGCCTCCCCCAGGGCCGCCCGCGCCCACCGACCCGCTCGGCTACCTCCCGCTGCACGGAGGCTACCAGTACAAGCAGCGCTCGCTGTCCCCCGTCGCTGCCCCGCCCCTGCGGGAGCCCCGCGCCCGCCACGCCGCCGCAGCCTTCGCCCTGGATGCCGCCGCTGCCGCCGCTGTGGGACTGTCCCGAGAGCGGGCCCTGGACTACTACGGGCTGTACGACGACCGTGGGCGCCCCTATGGCTACCCAACTGTGTGTGAGGAGGACCTGATGCCCGAGGACGACCAGCGGGCCACGCGCAACCTCTTCATTGGGAACCTGGACCACAGCGTATCTGAGGTGGAGCTGCGACGGGCCTTCGAGAAATATGGCATCATCGAGGAGGTGGTCATCAAGAGACCTGCCCGTGGCCAAGGTGGTGCCTATGCCTTCCTCAAGTTCCAGAACCTGGACATGGCCCATAGGGCTAAGGTGGCCATGTCGGGCCGAGTGATTGGTCGCAACCCCATTAAGATAGGCTATGGCAAGGCCAACCCCACCACTCGTCTCTGGGTGGGTGGCCTGGGACCTAACACCTCACTGGCAGCTCTGGCCCGGGAGTTTGACCGCTTTGGGAGCATTCGGACCATTGATCACGTCAAAGGAGATAGCTTTGCCTATATCCAGTACGAGAGCTTGGATGCAGCCCAGGCCGCCTGTGCTAAAATGAGGGGTTTTCCCTTGGGTGGACCAGACCGCAGGCTCCGCGTGGATTTTGCCAAAGCAGAGGAGACTCGGTACCCCCAGCAGTACCAGCCCTCACCACTCCCTGTGCATTATGAGCTGTTGACGGATGGATACACCCGGCACCGCAACCTGGACACCGACCTGGTGCGGGACAGGACGCCCCCACACCTTCTGTACTCAGACCGAGACCGGACTTTTTTGGAAGGGGACTGGACCAGCCCCAGTAAAAGCTCTGACCGCCGAAACAGCCTTGAGGGCTACAGTCGCTCAGTGCGCAGCCGGAGTGGTGAGCGTTGGGGGGGAGATGGGGACCGTGGTTTGCCCAAGCCCTGGGAAGAGAGGCGGAAACGGAGGAGCCTTTCCAGTGACCGTGGGAGGACAACCCACTCCCCTTATGAGGAACGGAGCAGGACCAAGGGCAGTGGGCAGCAGTCAGAGCGGGGCTCCGACCGCACCCCTGAGCGCAGCCGCAAGGAGAACCACTCCAGTGAAGGGACCAAGGAGTCCAGCAGCAACTCCCTCAGCAACAGCAGACACGGGGCTGAGGAACGGGGCCACCACCACCACCACCACGAGGCTGCAGACTCTTCCCATGGGAAGAAGACAAGAGACAGCGAGCGCAATCACCGGCCCACGGAGGCCGAGCCCAAGCCTCTTGAAGAGCCAAAACATGAGACCAAAAAGCTGAAGAATCTTTCAGAGTATGCTCAGACACTACAGCTGGGTTGGAATGGGCTTCTGGTGTTGAAAAACAGCTGCTTCCCCACGTCTATGCACATCCTAGAGGGGGATCAGGGGGTAATCAGCAGTCTGCTCAAAGACCACACTTCTGGGAGCAAGCTGACCCAGCTGAAGATTGCCCAGCGCCTTCGACTGGACCAGCCCAAGCTCGATGAGGTCACACGACGCATCAAGCAGGGGAGCCCCAATGGCTATGCGGTCCTCTTAGCCACCCAGGCAACCCCCAGTGGACTTGGCACTGAAGGGATGCCCACAGTGGAGCCAGGTCTGCAGAGGCGGCTTCTCAGGAACCTGGTCTCCTACTTGAAACAGAAGCAGGCCGCAGGGGTGATCAGCCTGCCAGTGGGGGGGTCCAAGGGCAGAGATGGCACAGGCATGCTCTACGCCTTCCCACCCTGCGACTTTTCCCAGCAGTACCTCCAGTCAGCACTAAGGACATTGGGCAAACTAGAAGAAGAACACATGGTGATAGTCATCGTCAGAGACACTGCCTAGCCCAAGCCTGTCTTTCCCAGCGTCATGTTTGTGTCACAAAAGCAGTTATTTTAAAAATCTGATCCCCTGTCTACCTTACCACTTTGGTTTGAATTATCTCCTGGGTTATTTTGGTTCATTTGGGTGGGGATCAAAGTCCTGTCCAGCACCAAAACTAAGTTCTTAGAATTTGGGGGAATTTTTTTTTTTTTTTTTTTAACAATGA